AAGTATAAAATCCAGTAAAATACCGAATGTGACCACTTCTGAATCTCTGATTCAAAAGCAAGGATAAACCAGCAACAAAACCGAAATTAATTTATAAAGTAAAACTACATGTATTTTCACTTGTGCACAGATTTAATTTTGGGTGCTCAGAAATGCATTATGTGCACCAAGTTAATTTTAGCTTTGGGAAGTCTTGTTTACGCGACTTTTTTGGCGGGAACATTGAGTAATTTAATTATGCACACGTGCAGTACGTTCCAAAAGGTGTTCACTGGGCCAAACTGTGGAAATTTCCAACAAAAACGTGTTTGTAACAGTTTTAGCAGCGAAATTTTCTCCTAGCTTTTTTCAATGCCACTCAACACGGAATAAATATATTCAGTGTTCCCCCAAACCACGAAAGTCATGAAATTATACTCAAGTACAAAAAATTATGGCCCACAAATTATTGTGTGCGACATATCGTTCCACAAAACGCAAATTTCTACGGAATAGAACGGTTAAACTAACGAATTAAACGTGGTCTGTTGCTACAGGTTTGTTGGAAGTAAAAACATGTACATTCAAGGAGATAATTTGTTGTCTTACCTCGCGCAAGAACGAGTCTTTTTCAGCACCACGCCACGCCGCCATGCATGGTAGTCGCCATTTTCGTTTCCAAACTCCGCCCGCCAGCGCAAGGAAACTTTGACAAATTTTCTCCCTCAAACATAAAAAAAACGGCACACATCCGACCTAGAAACGTCCAGACGATATACTGTACACTTGAGACGGATAATTTGCGGACAAAAAGCCAAAAATTTACCTCAAAAGTTGGAGAGAATTCACGCACAACACGCCACACGAAAGCGCGGTCACACTAGCTTGCAGCTGGTCGAACGGACCGTACCATATCTGATAATTGCATAGGGGTGCGAATGAGATTAATCATTATTGCTTTTGATAATTAACCATCACCATTCCGCCACCGATCAAAAGTAATTATTCTCGTCGCCCAATTTTGGACTTATTTTCTGTGCCAAACCCAACGATCAGGATACCTTCTGCCACAGCAAGTGTTCATATCCGCAAACCCGTGGATGCCCCTATATGTTAAAGGAGTACTAACCTCCAGAAGGGGGTGCTATATTCCGATAGGCATTAATTTTAGGAAGTGAAAAATGCATATTACTTTACAGTATACAATTAAATGCCCATTTTGCGCGCAAGTCTTAAAACGCATCGAATCCAGGACAAACTCTCCAAATACCCTCAAAACTATCCCAGAATACACCACGCTACCCCATTGGTGTCTATGTTTTAAACAAAAAGTTACGTTACCTACTTTATTTCAGGGGCGATAAGAAAAATTCGTACCGTTTTGTGTTCTTTGGTATCTTACCAACCATTGCCCTTCTTGGTGTCCTTATCGCCCCTTATTTATGCCGAAATATTGACGATGAAAAAAACGGTGTAATCTTATTATCTTTTCCATAAGTGGCGTAATCTAATCATTTGTTCAATTAATACTTACATGCAGATAAGTTGAGAAAATCAAAACACGCAGGATGAAACTGGCGCTCACTGCATTAGACATCCTCATATAATAGTATTCAAACCACAGGTCAAGTAAAGTAAAACAAGTAATTTCTCAATAATCAGCTTGTTAATGTGCTTGTCTCCTACCATTTTCGCCGAAAAATGTTTATGTTGACTTGAAGTGTATGAGGATTGCGTAATCCAGAGTTCCCGGATGTATCGATTGTGGTTCAGCATGGGGAAAATTTATATTGATGTCGCTTTACAAACATGCGCCGCTCAACTCGTACAAGCGAAATTATGTAAAAAGTCGGCTAGTTATGTATCCATTGCAGCATGATGTATCGGAAAATAGCACTTCCTTCTGGAGGTTAGTACTCCTTTAAGTGGGAGGCCCCAAGTGTGGACATCTCCTTGGTGCTGAACTCACCATCAGTTCCATGTATTAAGTATTGCAGTTGTGGCCGCAATACTGTACAAGCCTGCACAACTGTTTGACACAACAGTACACCCACGAGGGGTTGATGTATTTTAGTACATATATACAGTATATAGTAAATTGAAGCCTGTATATCAACAAGATCTTTATTTCATCAAGTCACATACATTTTCTGAGGATTAAGAGAAAGTAACAAGAGGGTTTACAGAAAACCTAGGTACCTCCCAGGCCAGGCTACCACTATATCAGGTATAATTTCTTGCTTAGGCCACACCAATTTAATTTCTTGGTTAACGGATTCGCCGCTTCATTTTTTTCTGATTTGCAAATAAAAATAAAAATCCAGAATCAACTGCAAAATGCTCATATTTTGCCCTGAACGGTTGAAAACAGTCCTTTTTATCCTAGTTGTTACAGTTATTCCATCTTTCAATGCAATGGTATCATTAAAGTTCAAGATTCATTGTTTAAATTTTGAACCAGCCTGGTGTGTTGACTTCATCGTACCATTTTGGGCCATTATAGGATGCCTAGGCCTGTTTTTATTTTTTATTTTTTTCGCCCGCCCGCTCCATTATTTTTGTAGAAAAATCCGTTAACCAAGAAATTAAATTGGTGTGGCCTTAACAAGGTTTACAATGTAAAATGCCAATACCAATGCCATTCAGGCAACATTATAATTCTATATTGTATGTCTGTAATGTTGTATGGAAATAAAGAATTGGAATTGGAAAGAAATTGAATATGGAGGAATCTTGTTTTTTTTAACCCGCCTTTTTTTTTGCTCATCAATTTGGAGTTTGCTGAGGATGTCATCAATAATATTTACTTGCTGTGGCCTAATTAGGCTAAAGAGCACTTATACATGTATATCAGGGAGGGGGGGGGGTCACGAGAGGCGAAGATTAAAGCTTTCTCCTAACGTGGAAAAGGACATTTCTGATCCAACTTTTGGGGCTTTCTAAGTATACTGCACACAATCTACAGTTCCCAATAATTAGTTTTTAATGAATGTGCTTAATTAGGCTTGGGAGAAAGCAAACATACGTCTTGTTCTGGCAAATTCTATTTGTAAATTAAAAAAAACTAAATTAACAGACAAAATGAGGATATCATAACAACTTTAATTACTTTATTGCCGCAATAAGTGCTGTTCCAAATGACATCACACTTGTATGTAACAACAAAACAACTAAAAACTCTCTGTAATCTGTAAGATATTCACTATGTTTCACTATTTTTATACTGTGACATGAAATAATAATCATAACTTCACTCCATTTTATGTGTTTTTACAACAAGGACATCTTGTACCCAGAACCGTGCTATGATATCCAAAACATTGCCCAAGCACAGTTCTGGATAGCCCACACGTATATCCAGAACTGTGCCTGGGACAAATGTATGTTCTTGGATACACGGAGACTATCCAGAACCGTGCATGATCCTAACCCTAACCCATTCAGGCATAGAACTAGTTACATGAAACTCCTCAATACGAGGACCAGCAAAACCATTCAACTTGAATGAAACATAAATAACAATTCTTCTATAGTATGTACACTAATGTATACATAATTATGTATGTATATATTTCTAACATCTCACAAATTGAGATACAAGTATGTACTTAACATTAGTTAGTTATTGCCAAATTTTGTTGCATTGATATAATACTGTTCCAAAACACATACATTTGGCTTAATTTATCATACACTCCCTTCTAGACCCTCAAAAACATTTTTTTCTAATCTCCAAGCAGATCCTACGGTGGCTAGACTGTATCCATTGGCCAGAGGAGTAACCATTAGCCACTGAGGCTATTTTTATTGATACTGTCTTGTCACCATATATAGGATATGCTTTTTTCCACAATTAATCTCATAAAACTGCTGCGTATCCAATAGCTACATTTTAACAAAAAAAAAGGTGAATCTTAAAGGTGCCCTAAGCGATATCAGGGCGTTAAAATTGGAAATATTTTGAACAAGACAATCTGTATGGTATTGACACATACCACCAAGTATCAGCACATTTGCCTCATTATTTCATGCGTTTGGCGTTTGAAACAGCACAGAAACTAGCCCAGAGACAAGTTGCTCGATTTCTAGCTCCACATTATGACTTATTTTGAATTCTTAATTTCAATACTTATAATGGTATTAACTACTGTCTACTTATTGCTTAAGTTTGATTCTCCTAATAGCAAATTTCTGCTGTCCTCCCCCTATTTACAACATTTCCTCACCAACTCTGGCAGTGAGCCTCATACAGTAAAATGTGTTACACAATCTCTCGCTGTCAGGGGCTGATTGTACATCTTTCCAGACAGTTTGTATCAGTTATCTTAGTCAAGAGAACCATTCATATTCCCAGAACTATCAAAACAGGCGCCCAGGATTTTTTATCTTTGAAAGCCAGTGACCAGCTGGTGTAGGGGCTAGTCTGTCATGCAGTCCCATGCTTTATACCTAAAGTGTTCCTTTTGTTCAAAGCTCATACTTAAGAATTATTTAAAGAAACATCATTCTAGAAAGGGTTACGAAATGTCTACGAAACACTTGAGAAAATGTCTGACACCCAGCCTGTAGCTGAGACCCAGTCCTTTCTGTGTTTCTTTGGCTAGAGCCAGTACAGTCAACAGGAAAACCCATGCTAACACTGGACATTCTACATCTTTTGTGACTTACTTTTCTTCAAAGCTTAGACTTAAGAAAAGTCTAGAAAGATCTAATAAATGTCTAGCATGCCTGCAGCCACCAGTTGGTGAGAAAGCCAGTCCAGTCTGTCATGTATAGTCCCATCCCGGTGCATTAGGACTCAAGTGTTGCTTTTGTTCAAGACTCTGACTTAAAAAACAAACATCTAGAAAGAATCAAGAAACATCTTACTTATAAAAACACTTCAGAAATAGGTCTCAAACCCAGCACAGTCTGTGACCCATGGTTCTGACTCAACTTCTTTCTCTTTTTTCCTTACCACTCATAAGACTGAAGAAACTTATTGGAATTTCTAGAGAGACCTTCAAAACTTCTAGAAACACCTAAGAGATGTCTAGCCCCCCTGCAGCAAACAGTTCCACAGTCACCCAGGACATTCTACACTTCAAGTGTTCCTTTCATTCTCAGTTTATACTTCAGAAATGTCTAGAAAGACCAAAAAATCCCCTGGAAACACCTAAGAAATGTCCAGCACCCCTGCTGCCACTAGTTGATGTGATAGCCAGTCCAGCCCCTTACATAATTAACATCCATGTCCATAATATCACCAGGGTCCATAATATCACCACCTTGAGAAACAGTGTGCTTAAAGATATTTTTACTGCAACATACCCTAGGTATGTACATTTGAGGTGTGCAGGAGTGCATAGCAAAAGTATGTTGCAGTAAAAATATCTTAAAGCACACTGTTTCTCAAGGTGGCGAAATTATGGACCCTGGTGATATTATGGACATGGAAGTTACACCTTCTTTGAGTTAAAGAAGACTTAACAAACTTAAGAAACGTCTAGAAAGACTTAAGAAATATCCAGCACCCCTGCTGCCACCAGTTGGTGAGATAACCAGTCCAGTCCGTCGTGTAGACCCATGCCTGTCCGGGCGTCGCAGGCTTGGATATGCCAGGAGCGGCCACAACACAGTTTGTGCAGGCTCAGTCTGTCGGTTATCTCTTCTATAGGCAGGGCATTCGGGAGGTCCTGTAGAAATTAATAGATGGTAAGAAATGCATCTTAAGCATAGTGAAACAGATCTTGAGGACCATGGCAGGTTTATGTATAACATTAGTTAGTTGTCAGACATTATATAATATGTACATGTACAGCACAGTTTGTGTAGGCTCAGTTTGTCTGTTATCTCTTCTATAGGCAGGGCATTCGGCAGGTCCTGGTAGGATATACAGTGAATAGAAATGGTAAGGATATGTCTTAAGCATATATAGTGAAACAAAGCCTGATATGAGGACCAGGTTTATAACTTTCAGGTGCACTCAAATTATGGAGTAAATACAGATAGATTCAAGTTTTCCTTCCTTCTTAAGTCTTGCTGTATGTATTTTCAACTTAAAATGTCTCTGAGAAGCAAAGAAATACATTAGTGTGCCCTAATGTAATCTGTCTGTGATCAGGTCTATACAGGCAGGGCATTGGAATGTCCTGTGTGGAAAATGAAAGTCAGTATGTGGTTATGATGTAAAGTGGAATGGAAACTGCAATGGAAGATCGTACTGTGTGGCATTGTGTTGTGCAGGAGCTTGCCCCGTCCCCCAGCCAGGGTGTCGACAGATGATGATGAAGTAAAGTGGTATGGCCACGTGTCACAGTTATCAGGAAGGTCAGGGAGGTCAAAAGAGGACCAAAAGGGAAACAAACTAGAGAATGGACCAACATGACATGGCTTGTTTCTGCAGTTTCAAATGCTCAAAGTATGAAATACTGATCCAAGTATGTGCCAATGTGGGGCATTGTGTGTCAATATCAAAAAGATTGTCTTATTCAGAATATTTTCAGTTTTGCTGCCCTGAAATTGTACTGGATGCCTTTAAGACCAGTTTGCTGATTCAAAACTTGAAAGTAAATCTCACTCTGACCTGTTTGTTGGCAAAGACCAGAAGAACGGCTTCTCTGAGTTCCTTCTCAGCCAGGAGCTTGGAAAGCTCATCGTACGCCTCGTCTATCCGCGCACAGTCCACGCTGTCTACCACAAATATCACAGCTGTAAATAAACAAACAAACAAACAAACAAGCTGTTAGACAAAGGTCTTGTGTACATATATCTGTGCACAGTCAACGCTGTCTATCACAAATATCACTTCTGGAAACAAACAAGTTGTAACATACACCTCCATGGTAATTTGCGACCACAGATCAGGCTCTATGGTATCCAGAACTGTGCCTATACCTGAATGGGTTAGGGTTAGGAACAGGCACGGTTTTGGATAGTCTCTGCATATCCAAGAACATAGATTTGCCCCAGACACAGTTCTGGATGTGCGTGTACTATCCAGAACCATGGCACGGTGAAACACTCCCATCCAAACATCAGTCACACCTACAAGTAGCATAGCTTGTATACCGGGGTTTGAAAGCCCAATGGGTTGACTGGGGATCGAACCCTGGACCCACTAAACGCACGAACACTTACCCTGTGTGTTGAGGTAGTAATGTTTCCACAGTGGTCGGAGTTTAGGTTTCCCTCCAACGTCCCAGATGGTGAACTTCAGGTTCTTGTACTCCACTGTTTCCACATTGAAGCCTGCAAAGGAAGGAAAAATCAAAAGTTCAACTTACAGTATTGTACTCTCACCAAATTTATACCATATTTCATCTTATGAACTACCAGTACTACCGTAGTAAACACATATTAACTTTATTTTCTGCAAGGATGCAATTTTTGTCTACTTATTTTGAACTCCCAACCTCTTGATCCAGAGGCAGGGTCACTAACCACAGGACCATTCATGCTACAGTTTGTGTATATAAACAAAAATGTTTCTTGTGCTAACCAATGGTGGGTATGGTCTGCATAAACTGCTTGTATTAGGTTAATAAGTTAGGTTAGGTTAGTGATTGACCAGTACTAACTGATAGTAGGAATGGTCTGCATAAACTCATTCTGTTTGTGTTAAGTTAATAAGTTAGGTTAAGTTACTGATTAACCAGTACTAACTGATAGCAGGTATGGTCTGCATGAACACGTCCTGCTTGTGCTATGTTAATAAGTTAGGTTAAGTTAATAGGTTTGGTTGATAAGTTATGTTAAGTTATTGATTAACCAGTACTAACCAATGGTTGGTATGGTCTGCATAAACTCATCCTGCTTGTACTATGTTAATAAGTTACTAATAGGTTAGGTTATTGATTAACCAGTACTAACCGATTGTAGGAATTGTCTGCATAAACTCGTCCTGTTTGAGTTTGAAGAGGATGGCAGTTTTTCCAGACTCGTCCAGACCCAAAGTCACAACCCGCATCTCCATCTTAGGCCCAATGTGGACTCGGTTGTCCTACATGGTAACAGGGAAGGAAGAATTCACTGGTCATGACAGTTCACCTAAGCTTGACATCTAATTCATAAAGCCTAAAGTGCACACAAATACAATGTCTGACTGGATGTTGTAATGTTAACACATTCACATCCTACATGTACGTACATTGAGTGTAAATGACTTATGAACAAAGTTTCCTGAAAGTTTGAAGTTTGGAATGCATGTAAGGCTTGCTGCACACATTTAATCCAGAATCTCCTGATGATACTATAGCATTAGTGTGGGAGATACCAGTTACATGTATCTATTCAGAAAGGTCACAGAAGTGCTGCTGTGGGAGGGGGTACATGTGTGTGTTGGGGGGTACATGTGTGTGTTGGGGGGTACATGTGTGTGGTGTTGTACATTGTTGTATCTGTGTTGTATGTCAACATGTCATTTATGATGTTCTTAAACAGTGTTGGTGTGGTTGATCTGGCGTGTGGTGGAAGGACGTTGTGTGATTTTATACATCTGTAAACGAATGTTCTTTTCATTGCAGTTGTCCTCGGTTTAGGCAGTCTTAAGCCACCTCCTGTCGCGAGTCGGGTGCTATGGCCATGGAAATTATCTATTCGTTGTAACCTGTCGTAGATCACTTCTGGTTTTTCAGCTACCAAAATTTTATTGAACATCATTAGCGTGTTTTTGTATAGTCTTCCGTTCACTGATAGCCAGTTCTGTACGTGTAGTTTGGGAGCAAGGTTGGCTGTTATTGTTATCTTGAAAGTTAATCTGTGTAATGGTAGAAGACATCACGAACACTTTCCATAGCAAGGAATTGGACTTGCCCAAGTTTTTGACTGTATACAACTCTTAAGTCTTTGTCAAGGAATTCCTCAACAAAGTCCAGTCCATTGTCTTGGAAATTACAGTTTTAACTCTTCACAATATTGGCTGTAATTGGTTGATGTTCGGCACATGCAGCTGGCTTAACCGTTTGGCTGAAAGAAAACACCATGTACATTAATGGCTGTGTAATACAGCCTATTGAACCTTGGTGTAAACATACGTATCATGTAACACGTGGCCTTTCATCCCCAGGTTGGTTTTTGTGTGGGGATACAAAAGATTGTTAATATTAGGCATGACATAATGGGAAAATCCCTGAGTCGGCCAGGGGAAACACAGAACTCTCACAAGTACAGGAATGTTCACAAGTAACAGGAGCGTTCACAAAACTTAGTGCAGGAACTCTCCCGAGAGAAATGTGAGCTAAATTTTGCAGCGAATTTGCAAGACTGAGAGTGAGAAGACCTGACCAGTGTGAAACATGGGGAACAGCTTATGTAAATGTAGAAGCACTGATGTCATCCGTGACCGGCGGGTTCACCCAGAAACACTCAGGTGGGTATTACTAAATTTTTTTTGTCAATTTAAGCAAGAGGAGAAGTTCCTAACTCCTCCTGCTCCTCCTCCTCCAGTGTATTCTACATCTGCAGTTGATAGTAAAAATGTCTTACTCTTCTTTCAATGTGTCTTGGGAGCTCCCCAAATGCTCAGTTTATTTTCTGTTGTACAAGGGTCCAGCCTAGTTTTTAAGGCTGTAGATAAATGCACAACTATCCACACACACTCTACGAACAATATTTTCAGATCACTCCTAAATTTCTCAACATTTACCTTTTTCTGAAGACATCATTGTTTTTGAACTGAAGGCCACTCCAATTCAATTTGTTGCTTCTCGGATCGCCCTGTCCATTTTTTTCTGATTTGCAAAAAAAAAAATTTTTGTTCTAAATTAACTTCAAAATGCTCAATGAAAGACATATTTTGGCCCCAATGGTTGAAAAAAGTCCTTTTCTTCCTGGTTCTTAAGTTTTACAATGTAACAATGCAATTTTGTTCCATTAAAAGTTCAAAATCTATAACAGTTTTAATTATAAACCAGCCTGGTATGTTCACTTCATGGCTCATATTGTAACATTTCCGGCTATCATGGGGTGCTTTGGCCTTTTCCTTTTTTTTTCGCCCTGTCACTCCTGATTTTTTCTTAAAGAATCTGAGCATTAAATTGGTGTGGCCTAAGTATGGGTTTCATTTAAACTTCAATGGGATGATTGCCAGGGATCAGAGTCAATTTTTGTTCAAAAGCAAGTGGAAAATGAAATTTGAAATCCAGAAACAATTGCAAATTAAAGCGCTTTGTATATTACTAGATGAACGCAATGACCTTTGTCCAATTCTATAATTCATCTGGAGGGTACTTGGAGAACTATCAGAATACTGTATAATGCAATATGCAAACTCAATCTCTATAGTAAACAATTTCTGGTTCAGAAATTTAAAACAGTATTTGAACAACGAGTCATTAATTTTGCTTCTTGTGTGTTCACTATCCTTAATCATTATGTTATATTAAATTACACAATAATTACATTGCTAACTGGTTTGTTTTAAAGTGCTATTTTTGTATGTAACTATGTAATTTGAATAAAGCGTTCCCGACACCCAATCCAAGTCCCTTGACTTTTTGTTTTAGTGAGTATGACAAACACCTTAAGGAAAGAGACTCCTCCTTTGCCAGGGCAGACGTGGACTCAGCAGAGCAGCACTTTGCAGCTGCACTCAAGATGGTACATGTGAGAGGTAAGGGGGAAACCCAATTAACATAAAAACTGAGGACACACGGAAATTGCAAGGAAACCAGCAATTTCTTCAAAAAGCTGTGGAACAATGCAAAGAAAAGAAAAACATGATGTCATTTTAAGTCTACGATTTCATCCAGTTAAAACACAAATCTGCTTGATGCACATTTAGCTCAGACAATTGTACAATTAATGTGTTTTGACACACAGATGAAGACATTTATCAACACTTAACCAAAAACAAAAACCTTCTTGGCAAAGGTAATCACTACAAAACAGTTGTTTCCACAACAAGTACCAGTAAGCTTCCCTTTTTTGTGATGTGTCTACTAACAGATTTAGTGTTTTTCAACGAAAAGGTAAGATATGAAATGCACAACATAGTTGTTTCTCCCCAGACCCCACAGCCCAGCAGTACCAGAGAGAGGTGGAGCCCCTGTGCAAGTTGGGGGATGTCTACAGTAAGCGAGGTCAGCAGACAGGAGACGGGGGAGACTTTGTCAAAGCAGCAGCGCTCTACAATGCAGCAATAGCCAGGTCAGAGGATCAAGTCCTCAATGGTAACATAGAAACAGCTATTAGAGAAGTAGACAAGCTGTTTCTAAAATATATCTTAGACATAAGTCATAACATAAGCCTAGACAACACAGAAAAACACAAGAAACAGCTGAAGGAGATGCGGGACCAGATCAAGCTGGAGATGGAAACCATTGACCAGCAGCTGGATCCCTATGTACATGATGAGGACAACCCATGTGTCAAAGAGATAGAGGCAAAACGAGCTCAGGCTGTCAGGCAGTTGTTTGACAAAATTGCACAACAAAGGAAGGACTTCATCAGCCTGCTTGTAGAAGAGTGTATTGGGTCAATGGGTCCCCCTCCCTGTAAGTATGCCCTGATAGGTTTGGGTTCACAGGCCACAGGACTGGTAACTCCATACTCAGACCTGGAGTTTGCCATCTTGGTAGAAGAGGAAAGTGAAGAATGTCTTGTGTATTTCCACAACCTCACCCACTATCTACACCTAAAGGTGGTCAACCTGGGAGAAACCATTCTCCCAGCACTGGCAATAAAATCTCTCAATGACTTCTACTCTGAGAACCCACTTGATGACTGGTACTATGACTCTGTTACACCTCGTGGGTTTGCATTTGATGGCTCCATGCCAAAGGCAAGCAAGACTCCACTGGGCAGGCAGGGAACTAAGGATGAACCACCCAGTGAACTCATCTGCACCCCAGAAAACATGGTTTCAAAACTACAAAAGGATGTCACACTATACCTAAAGGAAGGATATCACCTTGCCACTATCTTGAGAAACCCATGCCTGATAGCAGGGGACCAGGATTTGATTGACACATACATGGACATCACAGTGGAGATACTGCAAGCTGATGGGGGTAAAATGGCTCAACAACTGGCACAAGAGACACTGAAGGAAAACAGGAAAATCTACAGTACTAGTAATAAGTCAACAATAACTGCAAGGCTGATTGATGTAAAGAAAGACCTCTATCGCTTCCCAGCTGTAGCAGTGGACTGCTTGGCACTGTCTTCAGGCATCATACCTACCACAGTTTGGGAGACAATAGAAGAAATGGAAAAAAAACAAGTGATCAGCCCCAACAATGCACACCACCTGACAGTGCTTACCAGCATCTCAGCAGAACTCAGGCTCAGAACATACATGGCAAATGGTGGACAGAAGGAAAACCTGTCAGCTTTGGCCTCAATGGAAACAACACAGCAAGGACAGGAATCATCCCTACAGACCAATGAAGTACAGACAAACATGCTGAAACCAGTTTTTTACCTTCAAAATAAAAAACAGCTTTTCAGATACTATTACACTTCAGTCCCTCTGAAGAAGTTGTTATCTGTCATAGATATATGTACACTTTGTACTATACTATTACTAGTAGATGAAAGGTATGATACCAAAACAATTCTCAATTCATTTTCCGATCTCTATGAAAATTCTGCAAAAGTATGTGGAGTAATGTACTTTGAGTTATGCAAATACAGGCTTGCTATCACCTACCTTGACAAGGCCTTGGAGAAAGCTGTCCATTCAAACACAGAGACAATGAACTTATTCCAAAACCTTGGAGCAGCTAAGGTGGGAAACTACAAAGAAGTAATCAAGTATAATGAAGAAACGCCACAAATACATCAGATTAAATCACATCTTGACATCGCCTCCTTACTCAGCAACCTGGGGGCAGCCTGGTGCCACCTGGGTGATTACAGAAAAGCAATCAGCTACCTGGAACAGGCACTGCAGATGCACAGGAGTATCTATGGTCAGGGTACAGAACATCTCGACATTGCCTTGTCACTCAACAACCTGGGGACAGCCTGGGACAAACTGGGTGATTACAAGAAAGCACTCAGCTACCTTGAACAGGCACTGCAGATGTACAGGAGTATCTATGGTCAGGGTACAGAACATCCTCACATTGCTGCCTCACTCGACAACCTGGGGTCAGCCTGGGGTATCCTGGGTGATTACAAGAAAGCACTCAGCTACCTTGAACAGGCACTGCAGATGTACAGGAGTATCTATGGTCAGGGTACAGAACATCCTCACATTGCCAACTCACTCGACAACCTGGGGGCAGTCTGGTGCCACCTGGGTGATTACAGGGAAGCAATCAGCTACTTTAAACAGGCACTGCAGATGTGCAGGAGTATCTATGGTCAGGGTACAGAACATCCCAACATTGCCCTTTCACTCAACAACCTGGGGGGAGCCTGGGGTGGCCTGGGTGATTACAAGAAAGCTATCAGCTACTTGGAACAGGCATTACAGATGTGGAGGGCTATCTATGGTAGTACTACAGAACATGATCACATTGACCAAATTACTCAACAACCTGGGGGAAGCCTGGGGTAACCTGGGTGATTACAAAAAAGCAATCAGCTACCATGAACAGGCACTGCAGATGGAGAGGAGTGTCTATGGTCAGACTAAAGCACATCCTGACATTGTCGCCTCACTCAACAACCTAGGGGTATCCTGGAGAAAACTGGGTGATTACAGGAAAGCAATCAGCTACTATGAACAGACACTGCAGATGTGCAGGAGTATCTATGGTCAGACTAAAGCACATCCTGAAATTGCCATCTTATTCAACAACCTGGGGGGAGCCTGGCACCATCTGGGTGATTACAGAAAAGCAGTCAGCTACTATGAACAGGCACTACAGATGTGCAGGAGTATCTATGGTCAGGGTACAGCACATCCTCACATTGCCTTGTCACTCAACAACCTGGGGGCAGCCTGTCACTGCCTGGGTGATAACAGAAAGGCACTCAGCTACTATGAACAGTCACTGCAGATGTGTTGGGCTATCTACGGTACAGAACATGATGACATTGCACGCTTACTCAACAACTTGGGGACAGCCTGGGGCCACCTGGGTGATCACAGGAAAGCAGTCAACTACCTTGAACAGGCACTGCAGATGTACAGGAGTATCTATGGTCAGGGTACAGAACATCCTCACATTGCCATCTCACTCGACAACCTGGGGTCAGCCTGGCACGACCTGGGTGATAACAGAAAGGCACTCAGCTACCATGAACAGGCACTGCAGATGTGTTGGTCTATCTACGGTACAGAACATGATGACATTGCACGCTTACTCAACAGGGTGGGGTTAACCTGGGATGACCTGGGTGATTCTAAGAAAGCAGTCAGCTACCATGAACAGGCACTGGAGATGTGCAGGAGTATCTATGGTCAGGGTACAGAACATCCTCGCGTTGCCACCTCACTCAACAACCTGGGTTTAGCCTGGGGTGACCTGGGTGATTACAGAAAAGCAATCAATTATCATGAACAGGCACTGCAGATGAAAAGGAGTATCCATGGTCAGGGTACAGAACATCCTGACATTGCAAACTCACTCAACAATCTGGGGTTAGCCTGGAGGCACCTGGGTGATCACAGAAAAGCAATCAGCTACCATGAACAGGCACTACAGATGCGCAGGAGTATCTATGGTCAGGGTACAGAACATCCTGACATTGCCACCTCACTCAATAACCTGGGGGAAGCCTGGAGGCACCTGGGTGATAACAGAAAAGCAATCAGCTACCATGAACAGGCACTGCAGATGACAAGGAGCATCTATGGTCAGACTAAAGCACATCCTGACATTGCCTGCTCACTCAACAACCTGGGGTTAGCCTGGGACAACCTGGGTGATTACAGGAAAGCTATCAATTATCATGAACAGGCACTGCAGATGCACAGGAGTATCTATGGTCAGACCAAAGCACATCCTGACATTGCCCGCTCACTCAACAACCTGGGGTTAGCCTGGGACAACCTGGGTGATTACATGAAAGCTATCAGCTACTATGAACAGGCACTGCAGATGCGCAGAAGTATCTATGGTCAGACCAAAGCACATCCTGACATTGCCCGCTCACTCAACAACCTGGGGTTAGCCTGGTGCCACCTGGGTGATTACAGGAAAGCAATCAGCTACTATGAACAGACACTGCAGATGCTCAGGAGTATCTATGGTCAGGGTACAGAACATCCTCACATTACTACTCCTCTCAACGAACCTGGGGAATGCCTGGCACCACCTGGGTGATTACAGAAAACAATCAGCTACCATGAACAGGCACTGCAGATGTACAGGAGTATCTATGGTCAGAATACAGAACATCCTGAAATTGCCACCTCACTCAACAACCTGGGTATGGCCTGGAGGCACCTGGGTGATCACAGAAAAGCAATCAGCTACCATGAACAGGCACTGCAGATGCGCAGGAGTATCTATGGTCAGACTAAAGCACACCCTGACATTGCCACCTCACTTAACAACCTGGGGTCAGCCTGGTACTTATTTGGTGACCCTAGAAAGCCCTCAGTCTCTGCCAAGAAGCCTTGGTTATGGCAAAGCAGGTTTACCCCCAAGACAAAAGTCATCCATTGATAAAAGAAATTGAATCTAATCTAGCTGTAATATCATTATCAACACAAGTGTTGGCCATGTCCAGTACAGAGGCTACAGGTAACAGATGAGAATCTCTTATATTCCATAGATTCCAAAGATTTGAAGTTTGTGTCTGTCCTGTTACATGTAAGAACCATTAGAAACATCTAGACTGTCAGCACAACTAAGAAAGCTTCATCCCTGAAATCAAATAATCTTTCTGTAACTTTAAGATGTATTTATATATAATTATGGAGAATGGCAATTGTACAGTATACTTAGGCACATAGAAAACATATTTACTAGTTATCTGGTAAAAATGAACTTTGTTTAAAACACACCAATATTTTGAAGTGTAATTTTAAACCAGTTTGAAATACGTCATGTATGTGTACACTAACTAATACTACTAGACTGTTGTAACAAACATCTATATATGGAGAAACATTCAGATATGCAAGAAATAAGATATTCCCTAAATAAGATATTCTCTAGAATGATATGTGTATGATTAACTTCTGAGTCAGTAAAAGTGCACTTTATTGAACGAATCAGTAAACGTGCACTTCATTGTAAAAGACACCGATATTTTGAACAGTGTACAGTTTTATCAGTTTGAGATATGTGTAAACAATAGTTAAGTTAGAGTTGTAATAAATATATGGACAAATGTTCATCTTTGCAAGAACTAAAGATATCACAGAATAAAGGCAATCATGCTTTTTCATTTGACATGAGAAATTTAATCTAAACCTTCCCACATGTAAAAACTATTTTCTGGATAAATTGTAACATCAGTTATCACAGTTTTGATACCTGTTTTTTTAGCTTCCCACTAGTATTGCTTTAGTGTGTGCGTATGTGTGCCTGTATGCCTGTGCCTGTATGCCTGTGTATGTGTGCCTGTATGCCTGTGTATGTGTGCATGCATGTGTGCCTGTATGCCTGTGCATGTGTGCCTGTATATGTGTGCCGTATGTGTGTCTGTGCATGTGTGCCTGTATGCCTGTGCATGTGTGCCTGTATGCCTGTGCATGTGTGCATGCATGTGTGCCTGTATGCCTGTGCATGTGTGCCTGTATGCCTGTGCATGTGTGCATGCATGTGTGCCTGTGTGCCTGTGCATGTGTGCCTGTATGCCTGTGCATGTGTGCCTGTATGCCTGTGCATGTGTGCATGCATGTGTGCCTGTGTGCCTGTGCATGTGTGCCTGTATGCCTGTGCATGTGTGCCTGTGCCTGTATGCCTGTGCATGTGTGCCTGTATGCCTGTGCATGTGTGCATGCATGTGTGCCTGTATGCCTGTGCATGTGTGCCTGTATGCCTGTGCATGTGTGCATGCATGTGTGCCTGTGTGCCTGTGCATGTGTGCCTGTATGCCTGTGCATGTGTGCCTGTATGCCTGTGCATGTGTGCCTGTATGCCTGTGCATGTGTGCATGCATGTGTGCCTGTATGGCTGTGCATGTGTGCATGCATGTGTGCCTGTGTGCCTGTGCATGTGTGCCTGTATGCCTGTGCATGTGTGCCTGTATGCCTGTGCATGTGTGCATGCATGTGTGCCTGTGTGCCTGTGCATGTGTGCCTGTATGCCTGTGCATGTGTGCCTGTATGCCTGTGCGTGTGTGCATGCATGTGTGCCTGTATGCCTGTGCATGTGTGCATGCATGTGTGCCTGTATGGCTGTGCATGTGTGCCTGTATGCCTGTGCATGTGTGCCTGTATACCTGTGCATGTGTGCCTGTATGCCTGTGCATGTGTGCCTGTATGCCTGTGCATGTGTGCATGCATGTGTGCCTGTGCATGTGTGCTTGCATGTGTGCCTGTATGCCTGTGTGTGGGAGAGACTGTGTAAGCATGTTCCATTTACCCCAACATCTTTCAAGTTTGACAAGTTAGGCCTGGTGTGCACACAGTTGTGCATGTGAGAATTTCCGATATTGATGATGAACTATTATATATAATAGTACAAAGCCTCAACTAATGTAGGGGTCCATATTGAAGACCAACCTTAATAAAGGTGAGGGTAGATGTGCACTAGTTGCTGTGCACCCCTACTGTTCTTGAAGGACCTTAATTAAGGACTGTGTGGACTGCATGACAAGTTGTAGGTTATTCCATACTTTCACTACTCTGTAATGCAGTGAAACATTTCTCAAAAAAGTTGTCTAATGATGTAAGTGACGGCAAAGAAGCAAAGTGACTAAACCCCATGTACACACAGTAGTATACGTACATGTTACCCCATGCCCTGCAGTATGTGTGACATTCACACAGCCCAGTCAACCATGGTGTAAACATATCAGGTAACAAGTGGCCTTTCAGCCACAGGTTGTCCTTTATGGCAGGTTTACAGGCTTTCCGACTTCCAGCTAATCACATTGCAAGCTTTCCCTGACGTCATCCAACTATCGCGAGATATCACGAGACATTGTGAAAATCAAGATGGCGTCCACACATGCAGGCGATGGCGATGTTTTCGCCTATTTTCAACGCAAATTTCTTGATTTTGCGGAAGGATTTACACATTGAAACGTTCTGGAATGCTGATCTATTAAGTCCCATCGACCATCCGGTATTTTGGACCTGTACCGAAACGATTTTGGACTGGATTTTGGACCAATACTGGGCAGGTACAGCTGACTGGAACACATCCCTAGTAGTGACAGAGTGACACGCACAAAGCCCAGTGAACCTTGTGTACACGTACATATCAGGTAACATGTGACCTTTCAGCCCAAGGTAATAAGTGCCTTTTGTGTGGGGATACAAAAGACTGTTGACATTAGGCATGACCTAATGGGGAAGTCCCCGAGTCAGCCAGGGGAAACCCAGAACTCTCACAAGGAAGTACAGGAACTCTCACAAGGAAGCACAGGAGGAACAGACTTCTCTACCCAGGCAGGTTCACAGCTGTGGATTCTCAGACATCCAGGTGAGGTTAAAGACAAGTTAAAAGGCATCTACATGTACATGTAAGTTAGTGATATGTAGACAGTTTATGGGGCTACTGGGCTTTGACAAAAGGTTACTTTTGGGGCGCACCTCAAAATGGTTAATTAGATGCACGTACTACTGCGCACTCGCGCACAGCCTGCTGGGTAGGCAGCAGGCAACACCTCAGTTCAGTCTTGACACGCTAGTAGCAGGTGAGATTTAGACATGTCTCAGACATCCAGGGGAAATTTAGACATGTTTTATTGTTCTTGACTGTGGCCGCCATGCATCAGAACCTGATCATGATGCCCGTGGATGATTGATTGTTCTTGATCCTCTACTGTCGGTTATTTCTTCTGCCAGTACGCTTTTATGCTACATTAAGTCATTGTACAGTTGTATTCACATTGTAAATGTCTGTATATTGTCTTGTTGTATATCCTCTTGTTTCCCCAGACCTTTAAATGATCTTGTTCCTTTCCACAGATCAGCAACTATACAAAACAGTGCTAACACCTAAATAAAATGAGTTGTTCAAAGTCACTGCAAGCCATGTGCAACACTGTGACCAAGTGAGGAAAAAATTTCTGTGAAACTAAAAAAAGTGTGAAGTTCAACATGAATTGTTAAAAATAGCAAAAATATTGATAACGACAATTTTAATTTTATCTGTGACAATCATCATCAAACAATCAATCAAACAAACAAACAAACAAACAAACAGACATCAATATGGCCAACTCAGTAAAGAAGTTACAACACTTCCAGTTGTACCTCAAGAGTCAAGATGACAAAGAGGTTGTTTTTGTGCATGCACTTAGAGAAACCATAGTCTGTAGAAATTATGTCATGCAAGTAGAAGTCTTGAAAAGTCTTGGAGACCTGCATCTTGAGAAAGCCAAGCTCAGTAAAGATTCAGCAGAGTTTGACAAGGCTGCTGCCCTGTATGCTGCTGCCTTAGAGTGCTGCACAGTACCAAACATGAAACAAACACTTGAGGATGAACTTGAACATTCAAAACTTTGCAGACAACTGCTGCAGGGGTACAGTCCACAGTATCAGTGGTCACAGAACTACAGGGGCACTACTGACAGTAATGTCTTAAGGGTGGCAGAGATTTGTGACAAACTGGACAGAAGTGTCAGAAATTCCTTTGAACAGACTTACACAGAAATGTTAGTAACTGCAATCGGGAACAGCGACATGTTCTTGGAAGTTGAGGTTCTAAAATCTCTCGGCGACATCTACCTTGAGAAAGGCAAGACAACCTCTGATGTATCCCAGTTCTCCAAGGCAGCTGCCATGTACAACAAGGCCCAAAAAACATGTGGGGATCCTGAGACAAAACTGACTCTAAAGCATCGCATTGAATACATGGAGAAGATCAGGAAAGCCATGAAAAGGGTAAGTAGCTTTAGGAACTTTATGAGTAGCATTGCATCAATCTATATACGATACAAATGCAAAGATATTATACACAACTACAGAATCTGACGTACATGTACATGTAGCAAATAGTACTTGAACAAATGCAATGTACATATTGACAAATATGGCTTAAATTATACAGAAACGATCATCAAATAAACCAAGACCAAGAGAAAGAAGCTCACACATGGAGAACATCACAAGAACTCACACTCAGGACCAAAATCTTCAAACAGACAAAGCAAGGTGGGGAAATATACTACAAACATTTAATGAGGATATTAAGTACATTCTGAAATTTAAAAAAAATTAAATGTCCACCTCATGTAAGTCTCAATAACTTTGTTACGTTTTGTTTTGCTTTTTTAGAGCATACACCAACCACCTTAAGGAAGGAGACTCCTCCCTTGGCAGATCAGACCTGGACTCAGCAGAGCAGCACTTTGCAGCTGCACTCAAAATAGTGCATGTGAGAGGTAAAGAGCATAAATGATTCTTCTTGAATGGAAATGTTTTATCTACAGCAATATTTACTGTTTTTTGGCATTGTGTAACTGTTATTCACACGTGTAACATCATGGGTGAAACATTATAATTATTGTTCCTCCCAGACCCCACAGCCCAGCAGTACCAGAGAGAGGTGGAGCCCCTGTGCAAGTTGGGGGATGTCTACAGTAAGCGAGGTCAGCAGACAGGAGACGGGGGAGACTTTGTCAAAGCAGCAGCACTCTACAATGCAGCAATAGCCAGGTCAGAGGATCAAGTCCTCAATGGTAACATAGAAACAGCTATTGGAGAAGTAGACAAATTGTTTCTGAAATGTATCTTAGGTATTCATAGCAATGTTAGCCACTATGACACAGAAAAACACAAGAAACAGCTGAAGGAGATGCGGGACCAGATCAAGCTGGAGATGGAAACCATTGACCAGCAGCTGGATCCATATGTACATGATGAGGACGACCCATGTGTCAGAGAGATAGAGGCAAAACGAGCTCAGGCTGTCAAGCAGTTGTTTGAGAAAATTGCACAACAAAGGAAGGAGTTCATCAGCCTGCTTGTAGAAGAGTGTATTGGGTTAATGGGTCCCCCTCCCTGTAAGTATGCCCTGATAGGTTTGGGTTCACAGGCCACAGGACTGGTAACTCCATACTCAGACCTGGAGTTTGCCATCTTGGTAGAAGAAGAAAGTGAAGAATGTCTTGTGTATTTCCGTAATCTCAGCCACTATCTACACCTCAAGGTGGTCAACCTGGGAGAAACCATTCTCCCAGCACTGGGAATAAAATCTCTCAATGACTTCTACTCTGAGAACCCACTTGACAACTGGTACTATGACTCTGTTACACCTCATGGGTTTGCATTTGATGGCTCCATGCCAAAGGCAAGCAAGACTCCATTGGGCAGGCAGGGAACCAAGAACAAACCACCCAGTGAACTCATCTGCACCCCACAAAACATGGTTTCAAAACTACAAAAGGATGTCACACTGTACCTGAAGGAAGGATATCACCTTGCCACCATCTTGAGAAACCCATGGCTGATAGCGGGGGACCAGGATTTGATTGACACATACATGAACATCACAGTGGAGATACTACAAGCTGATGGGGGCAAAATGGCTCAACAACTGGCACAAGAGATAAGGAAAGAAAACATGGAAAGGATCAGCAATGAGGAAACAATAACTGCAAGGCTGATTGATGTAAAGAAAGAAATCTATCGCTTCCCAGCTTTAGCAGTGGACTGCTTGGCACTGTCTTCAGGCATCATACCTACCACAGTTTGGGAGACAATAGAAGAAATGGAAAACCAACAAGTGATCAGCCCCAACAATGCACACCACCTGACAGTGCTTACCAGCATCTCAGCAGAACTCCGGCTCAGAACATACATGGCAAATGGTGGACAGAAGGAAAACCTGTCAGCTTTGGCCTCAATGGAAACAACACAGCATGGACAGGAATCATCCTTACAGACCAATGATGAAGCACAGACAAATATGCTGAAACCTGTTTTCCACCTACAAAATGAAAAACAGCTTTTCAGATACTACTATACTTCAATCCCTCTGAAGAAGGTTTTGTCTGAATCATCTGAAAAGAAAACAAACCACAACTCATTCTCAGAATTCTATGATAATTCTCCAAAAGTATGTGGAAGGATGTACAAAGAAGTCTGTAAATATAGGCTGGCTATGAGTTACTATATTGAGGCCTTGAAAAAGGCTGAGGATACAGATACTAGTACTGAAAAAATAGACTTGCTTTTATCACTTGGATTTATTTGCCATCGGACTGGAGACTACCAAAAATCAATTGACTACAACAAGGAGGCACTACAAATACACAGGAGTATCTATGGCCAGACTACAGCACATCCTCAAATTGCCACGTTATTTAACAACCTGGGGTTAGCCTGGTGCCATATGGGTGATTATAGAAAAGCAATCAGCTACCTTGAACAGGCACTGCAGATGTACAGGGGGTGGAGTATCTATGGTCAGGGTACAGAACATCCTGACATTGCCATCTCACTCAACAGCCTGGGGGCAGCCTGGCATGACCTGGGTGATTACAGAAAAGCAATCAACTATTATGAACAGGCACTGCAGATGAAGAGGAGTATCTATGGTCTGGGTACAGAACATCCTGACATTGCTGGCTCACTCAACAACCTGGGGGGAGCCTGGCACCACCTGGGTGATTACAGTAAAGCAATCAACTATTATGAACAGGCACTGCAGATGAAGAGGAGTATCTATGGTCTGGGTACAGAACATCCAGAAATTGCCTTGTCACTCAACAACATGGGGGGAGCCTGGTGCCATCTGGGTGATTATAGAAAAGCAATCAGCTACTATGAACAGGCACTGCAGATGAACAGGAGTATCTATGGTCTGGGTACAGAACATCCTGACATTGTCACCTCACTCAACAACCTGGGGACAGCCTGGAGTGACCTGGGTGATTACAGGAATGCAATCAGCTACCATGAACAGGCACTGCAGATGTACAAGAGTATCTATGGTCAGGGTACAGAACATCCTAAAATTGCCACCTCACTCAATAACCTGGGGTTAGCCTGGTGCCACCTGGCTGATTATAGAAAAGCGATCAGCTACCAAGAACAGGCACTGCAGATATACAGGAGTATCTTTGGTCAGGATACAGAACATCCTGTCATTGCCATCTCACTCAACAGCCTGGGGTTAGCCTGGTGCCACCTGGGTGATTACAGAAGAGCAATCAGCTACCATGAACAGGCACTGCAGATGAACAGGAGTATCTATGGTCAGGGTACAGAACATCCAGAAATTGCCTTGTCACTCAACAACATGGGGGGAGCCTGGTGCAACCTAGGTGATTACAGTAAAGCGATCAGCTACTATGAACAGGCACTGCAGATAAGGAAGAGCATCTATGGTCAGGGTACAGCACATCCTATCATACCTACCTTACTCAGCAACCTGGGCACAGCCTGGCACCACCTGGGGGAGCACAGGAAAGCAATCAATTATCATGAACAGGCACTGCAGATGTACAGGAGTATCTATGGTCAGGGTAAAGCACATCCTCACATTGCCACCTCACTCAGCAACCTGGGGACAGCCTGGTGTTACCTGGGTGATCACAGAAAAGGAATCAGCTACTATGAACAGGCACTACAGATGAATAGGAGTATCTATGGTCAGACTAAAGCACATCCTGACATTGCCATCTCACTCAACAACCTGGGGTCAGCTTGGTACCACCTAAGTGATTACAGAAAAGCAATCAGCTACTATGAACAGACACTGCAGATGTTAGGGGCAATCTATGGTCAGGGAAAAATGCATCCTTACATTGCCACCTCACTGAACAACTTGGGGGGAGCCTGGGAACACCTGGGTGATTACAGGAAAGCAATCAGCTACTATGAACAGGCACTGCAGATGCACAGGAGTATCTATGGTCAGAATAAAGCACATCCTGAAATTGCCACCTCACTCAACAACCTGGGGTTAGCCTGGCACCACCTGGGTGATTACAGGAAAGTAATCAGCTACTATGAACAGGCACTGCAGATGTACAGGAGTACCTATGGTGAGCATAAACCACATCCTAACATTGCCAACTTCCTTAACAACCTGGGGACAGCCTGGTGCCACCTGGGTGATTGCAGAAAAGCAATCAGCTACCATGAACAGGCACTGCAGATGAGTAGGAGTATCTATGGTCAGGGTACAGAACATCCTGACATTGCTGCCTCACTCAACAACCTGGGGACAGCCTGGTACCACCTGGGTGATTACAGGAAAGCGATCAGCTACTATGAACAGGCACTGCAGATGGAGAGGAGTATCTATGGTCAGGGTACAAAACATCCCAACATTGCCACCTCACTCAACAACCTGGGGTCAGCCTGGTACAAACTTGGTGACCACAGAAAAGCAATCAGTCTCTGCAAAGAAGCCTTGGTTATGGCAAGGCAGGTTTACCCCCAAGACAAAAGCCATCCATTGATAAAGAGAATTGAATCTAATCTAGCATCAACACAAGCATCTGCCATGTCCAGTATAGAAACTACAGGTAACAGATGAGAATCGCTTATATTCCATAGAGTCCAAAGATTTGAATTTTGTGTCTGTCATGTTACATGTTAAAAACATCTAGACTATGACTGTCAGCACAACACTAACTAAAAAGCTTCATCCCTGGAATCAAATAATCTTTCTGTAAAGATGTATTCATATATAATTATGGAAAATGTCAACTGTACAGTGTACTTAGTCACATAGAAAACATATTTACTAGTTATCTGGTAAAAATGAACTTTGTTTAAAACACACCAATATTTTGAAGTGTAATCTTAAACCAGTTGGAGATATGTGTACACTAACTAATACTAGAGTTGTAACAAACATCTATGGACAAACATTTAGCTATGTAACAAGTCAGATATTCTCTAAAGATATTCTGTAGAATTATATTAATTTTGTATGATTGACTTTAGCACATGGAAAAAGGCATCTGCATCAGTCTGTATTCAATTTGTAGTTGTTTGAGTTGGTAAAAGTGCACTTTACTGTAAAACACACCAATATTTTGAACAGTGTACACTTTTATCAGTTTGAGGTATGTGTACGTACACAATCTGTACGTTAATAAAGTTGTAACAAAAATCTATGGACAAAGATTTAGCTATATAAGATTGATATAACAGAATAAAGACAATGAATCATGCTTTTTCATTTGACATGAGAAAATTAATACGTTTCTACAGTGGAACTATTTTCTAGATTAATTTTTACCCACAT